CCTAAGTCTCGTGGACATCAGTCGCTTCCTCCGGTCACTGGAACTGTGACGCGGCCAGGAGGAGAACCTTAGTGTCTAGATAGCTGCACAAGGGCCACTTAAAGGTGGAAAAGATGGAGTCATTGGCACGACAGATGTGCTGGTGGCCCCGTCTAGATGAGGACATTAGCCTAACCGCTAAGAACTGTGAAGCATGCCTGCAGAAACAAAGGTCAAAACCGAGGAAACGGGCACCATGACCAGAAAGCTGCATTCCTTGGCAATTCCGTGGACAATTTCTCGATCATTACCACGCAATGGTACTTATCAGTTTGTACTCTAAATGGCACACCAACCACGTCGTTCGTGATGCTGGTACTGTGAAAGTGTTCCAGTCGAGAAGATATTTTTCAAGTTTTGATAACTGACAATGGATCGCAATTCCGTGCTGCGGAGTTGAAAACTTGGCTGGACAGCATTGGCTGCCAACATCTGCACAAAGCACCACGTCACCCCTGCTCGAACGGCGCAGCAGAAAATTTGGTGAAAACGGTGAAGAGTGCCATTTCCTCTGTAAATCCAATGACAATTTCAGAGATGGAGGTACTCCTAGACAACATCCTGCTGCCATACCGGAATGCCGCACATGCTACCACCAAAGAGAGCCCAGCGAAACTATTCGAAGCCAGAAGCTTACGGTCCCCACTACGATGCGTGGATTCGAGTGACGTAGTATACTTCAGAGGACACTACCTGAGACCATCAAAAGAAATCATTACCAGCAAGATTGACCAAGCTATGGTCGAGATCATAGATCTAGGAGATGCGACGGTTCATCAACGTCACATCGATCAAATTCAGTTCAACGAAACTCCCACCTCGCAAGAAGACCCTGCCGAAGAAGCCCAAGGAAACCCGCCTCGCGACGCGCTGTCAACAACTACAGAAGATCAAACACAGCAGCTTCCTATTCTGGGAAAGCCTACTGATGAGAATAATCCACTGGCCTTCCAACGACCCATCAAAAGAGTAAGCCAATTTGACGAAGCTTTATTGAGGGAGGAGAGTTGCGGTGATCCAGGTCTACGTGATGACGCCTACCCTGGGGCGGCGCGTTAAAGTTTCTGGACATTTGCGATTAATCAAATTTGAAAAATGACGTCAATGACACGCGCATGGCTTCTGACCACACGCCAATGATGGAACTTGCCAGCCAATTGGAGGCAGTGCAGACAGAAGCAGAATTATGCAAGCAATATTGCAATTCGATTGCTGTACGCCCAGATAACCAATGATCTTCTTTTGTACATATTATTTGATCGCCTTCATTTCTTCCAATAAACTAACAACGTACTGCTATTCCTGTAGCCTTTCCCTCGCGTCTCGTTCATCTGGGATATTGCGAGCTCGTGCCATTGCGGTCCAATGCTTCCGTAGTCTAGTCCGTGACAGTTAATCCTTGGTTCGTGTTCTGTGATTCCCATTGCGTGGTTCGTATTCCGAATTCCGTTCGTACCACTACAAATACTACAATCCTTACAATTACACTATTGTCTGCCGATGTAAGGGCTTGTCTAGCAGTGTGGCAGTGTTAGTTGTAGGCAATTTATCCGTTTCTGTTAGTGAGTCTACTGCTTTATCCAGAATTGATCCCGATAATGTGATCTTCATTCCGTGGACCAGCAATCCACCCTTGGGGAAACAAATACTGGAATACCGGACGGTTGTAGCACAGGGCGGGAATTCGCACCCACTTGAACGAAAATTGGACTCTCGTTGGCTTAAGCTGCAAGTTCTGGAACCTGATTTGTTATGAAAATTGGCCTGAAGCGCATTTCCAAAAATGTTGTTGTAACTGGGAGCCGTTTAACCGCGCGATTATTTGACTTCGCGCAACCCGGCAGGTTCGGAGAGAAATTGCTTAACTTAGTGCGCAACTCTCCCTGATACTGCACACCAAACACCATACAATGTGGAAACCAGATACTCACCCAGCATCCTGGGCCTGGTGTTCATCAAGGACGTAAATGAAATGGTGATTTCAGATATGGGATCACCGCTAGTTAGAAGTGACCACGCGACTATTCGTTTCGGATACGTCTGTCGTCTACACGCTCTAAAGCAAGAACCCAGGCGCTGCTACAGAGCGTTAGACACTAAGGTTCTCCTCCTGGCCGCGTCACAGTTCCAGTGACCGGAGGAAGCGACTGATGTCCACGAGACTTAGGAACGAATGTTCGACCCAATAAGCCATGGTGGCAGTCTCGATGGTTAGCTAAATCACTGAGTAGAAAGCGGGCAGCATGGAAGAGATTCACCGCCACCAATGGCTACTCGAGATACCTTCCGTACTTAAAGGAGCGCAAGACCTACGACAGGGCCCAGTCCGATTCAAAGAAGCGCTTCGAGCTCACACTGGCAATGTAGTCCTGAGTCTTGAAGTCTTGGAGTATTACACGGGTACGATGCTAGGCTCAATGGTCCCGGATCTTAGTAGTTTCCAAGGTTTCTTCTAGTCCTGCGTCCCGGTGAGCCGGGTACGGATAAGGCTCCACTTCGGCGGATGTTGGGTAATTAGAGTGAGTCCGCGTCCTGCTTGCACAAGAAATTTACCTGAAATGAGGTAAGAGGAGGGGAGATGGGTGCAGTATCTGCATGCAGTGCGATAAATCGAAAAGGACAGGAAACATACTGAACATGATATTATTAACACTATGAGGCGGGGAGGTGTTTACCGTTCAGGGATTAGACCAAGATACATGTCTAGATTCCTTTTGAAAGCGGATCTTGTAATGGGCATTACCTACTTCTTGGGAGAGACTGTTCCAAAGAGGAATGACCCTGTGGGTGAAAGAGCACTGACGGAGTAGTGTACGGGCACGCGGTTTGAAGAGTTTCATGCTACGCCCACGAAGATTTTCCATACAAGTGCGCACAAAGAAGTCATTGATCCTGCCGGAATTAAAGAGATTGTATAGTAGGAAGATGTTATCTCTTATCCGGTGTTCTACACTCTCCATAATCGTGGAAGCGTTAGCCCTGAAGCTATGTACTGGGACGCTTCCAACGGATTTATCGTCGTTTATTGGAAGGTTCCAGGCCGTAGACCAGCCTTTGACTGCATCCATTGCTGACTGAACAGTCACAGGGTCGGTGCCCCAAATTGTCACGTCATCGGCGTACATTGTTTCGTTGACTCCGATTCTGTGTGGCAGGTCATTAATATATAAAAAAAAGAGTAGAGGGGCCAAGGAGAGAACCTTGCGGGACTCCGGTAGAAATGGAAGAGTCAGATGAGAGCGATGAACTTACGCGACCCGAGAAGTTGCGGTTCATGAGAAAATCACGAAGAAGAGCGAGGAGTCTGCCACTGAGGCCATATGACTGGAGCTTATAGAATAAGGAAGCGTGAGGGACTTGATTGAAAGCTTTTACAGAATCAATCAAAATTGCGTGAGGATTCAAGCCGTCATCATGGGCTTGTGTTTGACTGTCCATGATAGATAGCATATTGAAGAAGCAGGATCTGCCAGGGAGGAAGCCGTGTTGGGTTTGGGAAAGAAGCTGGTTGTCTGTTAAGTGTTTTAGAATTGCCCTTTTAAAAACCCCTTCGAAGACCTTACGGGGCCCGTTAGTCAGGCTGATGCGTCTATAACTACTTGGAGTGTATCGGTCTCCCTTTTTAAATCGGGGGGATATGATGCCTCTTTTCCAAAATGAAAGGAATATTCCAACATCTAGACACTTTTGGAAGAGGGTAAAATTGTACGGAGCAAGAAAAGAGGTGGCTTTTTTTTAACACTCAATGGTGTATACCGTCTGGTCCCATCAAACTAAAGGAATCCGGGGATTCAAAGAGTGATTCGGTCTCCCCTGGGAGAATTAGGAAATGTTATAATGGAGGTGGTGCATTAAGAGACGGAAGGTTGGAGTTGGAAGAGACTGAAGGAAAATTAAAGGCGGATTCATAATGAGACCGAAAGATCTCAGCTGCCTGAGCAGTGGGGGTTAGAGGAGAGTCGTCAGGTAGCTTGATAGCTAGTGCAGAGGGGGTTGATTGCCCTTTACGGCCGAGTGACTTAAAAAAGGAATTAGGGTTAGTTCTAGCACGAAGAAGAATTACTTTCTGTTGTCTATTGTAAAATTACCTAACTCTCTGCTTAAATAAGTTGCGGATT